GATAGCAGCTTGGTTGTCACACAACATCATTATTGGACTTTCAGTAGGGATTTTCAGTTCTTCTAGGAGTCGTTTGAGCCACATTCCTTCACATATTCGTGTGCCATAGCCCTGAATTCGGCCTCAGCATTGCTTCAAGCAACTACAGACTGCTTCTTGCTTCTCCATGTAACAAGGTTTCCCCACACGTAGGAACAATAGCTTGAGGTAGATCTTCGGCCAGTTAGGGATCCTGCCCAGTCGGCATCTGAGAAAATTTCCACGCTATGGTCTGTCCCCTTTTTGAAGGACAACCCTTTCCTTGGAGTCTTTTTAAGATATCTGAGAATCCTATAAACTGCTTCAAGATGTTCATTAGTTGGATTGTTCATAAACTGACTGACCACATTGACATGAAAACTGACATCTGGTCTTGTGTGAGACAGGTAAATGAGTTTTTCCACCAGTCTTTGGTACCTCCCTTCGTCAACTGAAGTAGAACTCTCCTTCATGTTAAGTTTGTTGGAAGGGTCTATAGGTGTTTCTGAGGGCTTACAACCGAGCATACCTGTTTCTTTGAGCAAATCAAGCGTATACTTCCGTTGAGAGACAGAAATACCTTTGCTGGATCGAGCCACTTCTAAGCCAAGAAAATATCTCAAGGTATCGAGGTCCTTGATTTCAAACTCTTTGGCTAGAGTACCCTTTAACCGACTTATCTCCTCTTCATTATCACCTGTAAAGATAATATCATCCACATATACAATAAGGATGGTAATTTTCCCTTCAGGAGATTTCTTGATAAATAAGGTGTGATTAGACTGGCCTTGAGTGTATCCATGCTTCTTGACCACTATGGTAAATCTCTCAAACCAGGCCCTTGGTGACTGCTTAAGGCCATAAAGAGATTTCCTAAGTTTGCAAACACGGTTGATATTGCTTGGGTTCTCAAAACCAGGAGGAATCTCCATGTAGACTTCATCTTCCAAGTTTCCATTAAGGAATGCATTCTTGACGTCAAGTTGATGAAGAGGCCAATCCAAATTGACCGCCAAGGATAAAAGATTGTGTTTAACTTAGCAACCGGAGCGAATGTTTCTTGATAATCAATCCCGTAGATTTGAGTGAATCCCTTGGCCACAAGTCTCGCTTTGTAAAGGTCAACACTTCCATCTGCCTTGTACTTAACATTGAATATCCACTTGCATCCCACAGGTTGTTTGTCTTTGGGAAGTTCTGTGAGTTCCCAAGTACCATTCTTCATAAGAGCCCGAATTTCTTCACTAACTACTTCCTTACATTCAGGGTGCTTTAGAGCCTCTAGTATGCAGCTTGGAATTTCTATGCTGGACAGATTCGAGGTAAAAGCGCGGTAACAGGGAGACAATCTCTCATATGTCACAAAGTTTGAGATCGGGTGCTGAGTGCATGACCTAACACCTTTCCTTTGAGCAATAGGAATATCAAGATCATTACTAGGATAAGAATCAGTGTTACCTTGAGTAGAAGTGACTAGATTTGGAACGGACGCTTGGTCTTGTTCAGGAAAAGTGAGTTGATCCACCTCCTTTGGAGCTGTCTGCTTTCTTGAGTAAACAATCCCTTTAATAGTCTTGATTTTTCTTGTTGAGTAGGAATCTGAGGACTATTTTGAGTGGGTTCGGAATGAACAGGTTTGGAATGTGACTCAAGTAGGATAGGCACAATTAGAGGTGTGGTGGTGTTTGAGGACTGTTTGGAGTGGGTTCGGAATGAACAAGTTTGGATGTTGACTCAAGTAGGATAGGCACAATTGGAGGTGTGGTGGTGTTACTCGGAGTAGGTGAACTTGAGGTGATGGAAGGCACGGAGATATCCGCATCTTGCCAAAACTGATATTCTTCTAGCACGATAGAATTCTCCCCCTGAATATGAGTTTTGGAGTAGAAAGGCTGATTCTCAAAGAAAGTTACATCCATGGTGTTATAGAACTTCTGAGTAGTGGGGGAGCAGCATTTGTAACCATTTTGGTGAGAGGAGTATCCGAGGAATGGGCAATTTATGGCTTTGGGATCTAGTGTGCTCCTCTGATGAGGTGGTATGTGGACAAATGCTGAGCAACCGAATACTTTTAGTGGCAAGGATGATATGAGTTTGGACTGTGGGTAGACTTGCGTGAGTACTTGGCATGGAGTTTGGAATTTCAAGACCCTTGAAGGCATCCGATTAATGAGATAGGCAGCGGTAATTCAACTTCCCCCCAGAAATGTTTAAGGACGTGACTTGTGAACGTAATTGAATGAGCAACTTCTAGAAGGTGTCGGTTTTTCCTTTCGACTATCCCATTTTGCTGTGGGGTGTCTATGCAAGAACTTTGATGAACTATCCCATGATCAAGAAGGTAATTCCCAAGAATTGAATGAAAGTATTCCTTGGCATTGTCAGTTTAGAAAATCTGAACTTTGGCTTGGAATTGTGTTCGGATCATTGAGTGAAATTTTTTAAAAATTGGTCATACCTCAGATTTTTCTTTCATGAGAAATATCCAAGTGATTCTAGAATGATCATCAACAAAGGAGATAACTGAAAAAGGATGTGATTCCTTATATGGTTGAATCGGATAAGAATTTCGAGTCTGTTTGGACAATTGACAGATTTCACACTAGAAAGACTTTGAATTTTTATTAATGAATAAAGTAGGAAACAACCTTTCAAGGTATATGAAACTTGGGTGTCCTAATCGCAAGTGCCACAACATAATTGCACTTTCATTATTGGAAACTGGAACCGAATTGAAATTCCTAACAGATTGACTCTCTGCACAATGAACATTTTGAGATTGTTTTTCAAGTTGATTATCGCTCCTGAAGAGGTAGAGCCCTTCACTTTCCTTAGCATTGCCAATCGTCCTCCCCGAATCTATATCCTGAAATTCACAATGAGTGGGAAAGAATTTAGCAACACAATTCATATCTCTAGTAATTTTTCTAATGGATAGCAAGTTACAGGTCAGATTAGGAACCAATAAAACCGAATTTAGAACCAGGGTCTTTGAGATGATAATTGACCCAATGCCAGCTACAGTGGATAGAGAACCATCCGCTATTCTCACTTTGTGATTTTCAGAACAAGGGATGTACTTGTAGAATAAGGAAGCATTCCCAGTCATATGGTCAGATGCTCCAGAGTCAATAATCCAAGATTTTTTATTCTCGGTTTTGATTCCAAGAGCACTTAGAAATGTACCTTTTTGTGTTACTGAACCTGTGCTGATGACTGGTGTTGCAGGGCTTGATGGAAGTTGGCTTAACATCTTCTGCAACATGTCAATTTGTTCCTTGCTGAAGGGTGAAGTTTCGGTTGTTGGTTGCTCATCTGTGGTGGCCGCAAAGCCACGGCCTTCTCTGTCCTGAGATGTTCTGTTTGGCTTCCAGTCAGCTGGCTTCCCATGAATTTTCCAGCATGTTTATTTCGATTGTCACTGGTTGAATTCATTCCACGGGTTGCAAGAGCCGAGCTTTCTGGAACAGTATGAATCCTTGGGATGTTTTGATTTCCCATTATAATCTTCTTCCTGCTTTCTTCTCGACGCACCTCAGAAAACGCCTCGCGAATTGAGGGCAAGGGCCTCATACCGAACACTCTCCCCTTGACCTCATCAAGGTTTTTGTTTAGCCCAAGTAAGAGTTTTGAGACTCTCTCCTTCTCGACTATTTTCCTGTATTTGGCCGCATCTCCAGGGCAATCCCAGTCAAGTTCTTCAAAGACATCCAATTGTTGCCAAAGACAGGTAAGGGTGTTATAGTATTGGGTGACAGAAAGATCACCTTGTCGCAAGTCATGAAGGTTGCTTTTAATCTCTAATAATTCTGCCGTATTGTCGTTGTCGGAGTACGTTTCCTTTGCCGCATCCCAAATTTCTTTTGCGGTTCCATAGAATCTGAAATTCTGCCCAATTTCATTGTCCATGGTATTAATCAGCCACGACATCACCATGTTATTCTCTGATCTCCAAGTTCAAAGTTTTGGGTCTTCCTTTTGAGGAGGTATGGCAGCGCCAGTGAGATAGTCGTCTTTTCCTTTTCCCGATATGAACATCATTACCGATTGAGCCCATTGAAGGTAATTGTGTCCGTTCAGCTTGTGCCCAGTTATTGGCAGTGCGAGACTTTCAGATCCGCCATGGCCGCCGTGATAGATCTGTCCCAGGCTGGAAGAGACGTCGGACGTGCTGCTTTTATCAGTGGCCATTCCGTAATTGACGATCATAGGAAAATTTTGAGGTTCAGAGGCTGCTCTGATACCATAAAGAAATATATGCGAGAAAATTCTTCTCTGATAATTTTTATTATATCAACTCTGGAATAAGTGAATTACAAGAATAAATAGGAGAGAAAACCTTCACAATTAGGTTAACCAACTCCTTGATTCTAGAAGTAAAACAGGAAACTAACAAACAGAAATCTTGGAGATTTGGATACTAATTATCATCTTCTCTTTATTTGAAACTAACAGAATCAGCTAACTAAAGGATTGCACTCCAAGATCTTCTCTGATTGCATATCCAGAATTTCCACAATATATATATATATAAATTGGGAAAGAGTGGAAGGTTACCTCAAAATGCTTTAATTCCAACTACTTGGAGTTGTATACATGGGACACTCTGTCCTCAATTTTCCGTATGAAAGCCATCTGCTTAACTCAATCCCCTTCATTTCCCGACCTTGGGACCCACCATGTGACTTTTGGTCCAAGCACAGCTCAGGAAAATTTGGTGGAAATTCTAATATCTGTAAACAAATTGCAAGTGTTTATTTATTATTCATGATAGTTTCTTCTTTATATAGGGTTTTTGCTCCAGGCTAATGGAAGAAAATATTATAGCCTGTTGGAAGTAAAAACCAAACTGTGCAGCGATTATTTGGGTGAATTTGTTTGTTAAAATTTAAAATTTCATTGCTGAATTTATTAGTTATGTATTAAATTGTCTCACTTAAATCCATAGTTTGCTGTAAATGCTTACATGCGATGTTTTGCAGGCAGATCATTACCTGAAAGGTTTGGTAGTACCACTGCAGGACAATGTTCCTGAGCACGTAAGCGAAATAAGCTCTAAAGCAATGGAACTAAAGGAGGCTCTTTACAGTTTGAACAGCTTGGAAATAAAGTTAAAGGTGTTGTCTCTCTCTATCTGCATGTATGCATATGTGTCTGTCTGTCTCTCTCTCTTTCTTTCTTTGTTTTTTGTTAGGTCAAATAGGACATAGGTTGACAAATTTTGTAGAAAGAAACTGGAGTTTGCGACTATAATTTCTAGCTTGGATTAGAAATTTCAAAAGTTAGTTGGTACACTTGGTTGAAGAAGGAATTTCAATCTACATTCAAGGGTACAAACATAGGGTAAAAAGGAATTTCAATCTGTAAGACTTATTCACCTCCCTCCCTTTTAGGTCTAGATCACGGGCCTTATGTGATTCTCCATCAGAACCTTGGTTCCAGTCTGGACTTTCACTTCTCTCTCTTTTTCTCTCTATGGCGACCTTGTGGGCTGGTGTGCCGGGCAAAACCCAAGAGCAAAACTGTGCGGGCTCAGGCCCAAAGCGAACAATATCATACCATGTGGTGGAGTGGGTCGTTACACTCTCTCTCTTGCATGCCATTTAGCTTTATCACATGAGCCATCATTTCTTTGTTTCACCTTTGCGGTACACATGCTTGTTGCCCTTCCTCTTCAAATTAATCAATTGACTAGTATTTTTGTTTTCCTTGTTATAGATTACTAATCCATCGTCTTTTCATCAATTGCTGCCACCTCTAGCTGCTCACAAATTTATTAATCTCAAGATTCTACTCATCCTTGTTTTAATACATGTTATTTCTAGAGCATCCATATAGTCTCCTTTTATTATAGCAACCTATATCCATCTCAAACAATTATCCCTTTAACTTGATGGGTGAATTATGATAACACAACACTTAGAAGTACCTATTATTTTGTGCAAGGTTCTCTGTAATATCCCATACTTACCGATATTCAACCTAAGATTTCAAAAATGGTCACTTGTGGATAACTCATGACCATCAAATTTTAAAAGTTCCCCATTTTCTACTTTTTGGTTCATTATCACTAAGTCCACATGTCTACACATTATTTTAATTTTGTTTATATTAGGAGTCTAAGAGGTGTCTACAATTGAGTAAATAGCTCTATAAACAAATGGATTGGATCAAGTGGGAAAATGGAAAGATTTGTTCAAGTTATATGTTTCACCGCAACTTTTTGTAGAAATTTTGTTAAGTATTAATACGTTAGAAACATGTGACTTATTGGTGAAATAATCTATCTCCCCCAAAAGCACTTTTAGTTATTTTTTACAAATGAACAAGATATTGAGGAATTGTCTATGAGGGCAGGCCTTGGCGCAACGGTAAGGTTGCTCCATTGTGACCTGGGGGTCACGGGTTCGAATTGAGAAATATTCTTTCCGCATGCGGAGACAAGGCTGTGTACATCTAACCCTCCCTATACCCAGCAATGGCGGGAGCCTCGTGCATCGGCCTAGCCCTTTTTTATTGAGGACAATTATTGATGCAGGCTTTTCCAAATAAATAACTTGAATCGTTTTTGGAAGTAAATGCAGTAGTAATGTGGATTATTCAAGAATTGAAGTTGAAATTGTTTGATTGGCCTCTGCCGTCTTGATCTTTTGATCAGAATTTTTTTCATAAAATTGTATAATCTATTCCAATTGCAGTTTCATCGACTAAAACTATGTTTTTGTGAAAACATAGGTGATCGTATACATCTACCATATGGATGCCTGGATTTCCTGTGTTTATTACATTCTGAGATTCTAAATGGGAATGATAGGACATTTTTTTTCTCAAGACTGACAGTTCTTTCGAAGAAAACAGAAAGAACGAAAAAAAAAAAAAAAAAAAAAAAAAAAAAAAAAAAAGAAAACCAAAGTTTAAAGTCCCTTAGTCATAGAGGATGAGCGCGGCACCCACCTCGGAACATAATCATTACAGGCTTTTTGGATTGTTTATGTCTAGATTTTAAATCTATGTCCATTATCCATCTTCTAGAATCCAAATATACTAGTATACGTGGATGTAGTATTTTTGGGCTTTTGTTGAATTGAATATTCTTGGTGTATGGTAAATTTTTCTTATCTTTTGTTAATAGGCACCCAAGGAGGTATTGTTGCAGACTCAAATTGCAGATGCTCTAATGTGGGCTAAGAAGGGACCCTCCCTAGATTGTGATGAAGCTTTCATTCCATCCTTTGCGGAGCGTCTATGCTTTGCAGCACTCCAACCTATTTCAGGTAATATTTCTCTTATCCTCTTCATTTTTTGTTTTTCTGAACTGCGTGTCTTGTCTGGTCCTTTGGTACATAAAAGAATTCCATGCATGAAGTTTAATTATGGGTTTCCGTCATCTTGACACCACTAACCAAGAGAGCACCAGCCCATTGGTTCTGTTAGGCCAATAGGACTTAGGTTGACTGTTGACAAAATTTCGTCAAACAAAACTAGTGTCATGGGTGAAGAATTAAATTGAAGCTACACTCAAGGGTATATGACTAATTTTCTTCCGCATGGGTAAAAAGATAAATTGACACATTGATGGACTCGCCAAAATTAGGGTTCATGCATACATGATTAGGGTTTCTAAGTTTTCATGTTTTGTTTTGATTTGATTCCATGAACCTTCTTAAATATGCATAAAAGTGTTTTTGGAAACTTCGTGTTCTAAATATGGTAGTAGACTTTGATTGATCAAGAGCCACTGGAGTTGTGTGAATTGATTGAGAAACTCTCTAGGTGGTCGACCCCCTGCAGAAATTCATTTTTTTTTTTTAAAGAAAAGAAAAAAAAAAAAAAAAAGCAACAAATCTGTTGGAGAATAATTATAGGAGTGATTTAAGCCCTTAAATCACTCATTGACAGAATATAGTTAATGTTGCTATACTTGGGCAGCAAGTTGTTGCCATATTTATATTTGACTTTCTGTGTAATTCCTTTATTACAAGTCTTCCCCAATTCACCTATAAATAGAGGTGATTATTGTAAACAAAATTAAGAGAAAAAATAATAAAGATGATATAGCCCTTTGGGCTTTGTGCATGTATCCTTGTGTGCTTCATTTTCTATTTCTCTCTTCAATTTTGACATAGTATCAGAGCACCGATCCTAGAATTTGAGGGGGAGTATGGAAATTATTATCATGGGGCATATTCTCTATGTCTTCACATTCTTTTCCTGGTTTAGTTTCGGCTTAGTTCCAGCCATTTCCCGGCTTAGTTCCGGTCATTTCCCGGCTTAGTTCTGGTCATTTTCTGCATCTTAAATCACTCATATAATTATTCTCCAACAAATCAAACTCTAAATATACTTGTAATTTATATTGCCTATAATATTCTATGCTAGGGCAGAATGTGGAAAGTTGTTGGATACCCCGGGGTTATAGACTATGTAGTACCCCCAGCCAATAAAGACTCATTATTTTCCTTGATGATAGGAAATACGAGTAATAACTTGCCATTGGTCGGGGTAACTACATTGTCAACACCCTCGGGGTAACCAATAATTTCTAGCTGAATACATACAACTCATATATGCATAGTATATATATAGAGATAGCATGATTGTGAGTTCTAGAGTTCTTCATATTTTCATTTTGCATTCATCATACTTTGTATTAGCGAGTGTACTTCACTGTGTATTGTCATCTATTGCTGCGGATTAGAGCTAAAGAGTTCAACGCAATAATCAATTCATCATCAGAGATTGAACAAGAGGACTAGTGGCTTAGACTGGATCACTGATGGAGAAGCAAATTCGTGAAGAGCGAAATTTGTTGACGAACAGATAATGTGCATGGAAACTTGAGAAGAGTTTGGTGGATCGATCTCTGTCAAGGTGATAACTAAGTGCGTTTAGGGTTTTGTAAAACTATTAACTTAGGTTGCATTCCTTCTTTCTCACAGTGGATTCAGTTTGCCTGGTTCCGTAATTTTTTTTGGTCGGATTTTTCACGTAAAACAATCTGTGTCCATTATTTTCTTACTTCTGTTGATTGCATGCATGGGTGATTTTTACTTTTCTGTTATGAATTGAATTTATACTTATGTTAAGTTAGTTTAAATTCAAAAAGCGGTTAAAATTCGGTAATCCAATCTATAAGACCTATTCAGCCCTCCTCTAGGTCTAGATCACGGGTCTTGTGCTATTTTCTAAGAGCCTTGGGTTCCAGTTTTGAACTTTTAGGTTCTCTTATCGCTTTGAGTGAATTATTCAAGCTTAGTTCTATGACTACTTATAACCGTACAAACACAGCATTTCAACCTGTTTAAGGGTAATGTTGCATTTGGGAGCACCGTATCGGCACCTTGGAATTGAAATTGGAGAAAAATTAGTTAAAATTTTGAACTTAGTTTTCTCCAATATTCCAAATCCAAGGCTGGTATTTGGTGTTCCCAAACACAATGTAAGTATCTCTTATCCTTCTTATTTTCTTTTTCATTTTTTTATTTTTTATTTTTTTAATTATTTATTTATTTATTTTTTACTTTTGATTAACTTAGTCTTGGTTGCTAAATGATTGATTTCCGTAGCAAGTAAAGCATATGTGTGGACGGGCACACAACGATGGTTGTGATACCAAATTGCTGCAATGCAGACTTCATTTAGGGTTTTAGAATCTTTTCTTGTCTGCAAATCAGTTTCTTAACATCCTAGAATGAGATTGTTTACACACAATAGATAATGAATATACTGCAAGTCTGCAACACGAGCAAGGATCCTATGCTGAAAGTTTCAGGTAGCAAGAAAACCTACTAAATGCTTGAAAATCCTAGTAGCGAGCACACAAATCGATATATAATTGTTCTGAAGATAAATTAGACTTCAAATATACATTTAGGGCCACTCCATTAATCTGATGATCTTTGAGTTATCAAAATGTTGGATGGAGTTTTTGCAATATATTGGAGAAATTGGGAAAGACAACCCAGGTTAGTGGTTGTAAGCTAGAGATTAGGTGAGATTACGAGTGGGACGGTGGTTATAAATATTTTTAGAAAATTTAGAGGAAAGAAGTAGGGTGATCTTACTTAGGGGAAGGATGAAACCTGTCTCTGATTTGAGCAGATGAAGATAAATTGTGAAGGGAATGTAAATAGATAAAAAGATAAGAGGATGAAAGAAATTGAGATGAAGGAGAAGAAAGGTAATGAAGAAAAGTTCAGCAGCAAGTCGCACTCTCTCAGGGTAAACTCAACTTCCGATTAGGATTAGGACTCGAGTCTCATGGAGGAGAAGATATAACTTAGCATACAGTGAGATAAGGAGTGTATACAACCCTTATCTCTTAGGTGTATACTCAAGATACACACTTCAGCAGGCAAAATAGACGGACAAAGTGCCCCGACTATCCTAAGAACCAAGGGAGAAGACATTTAAAATTTTAAAGTGCTGGAAAACCCCCAAAACAATATTTCTACCAACAAAATATGAACCACACAACTGTAAAGGCATAGATCTCAGTCTGTTTAACCAAACTTTATTACCTTACAGAGTGTCCTCAAGATCTACCACAGAAAGAAAGAAAATTATATATAATTTCTATCTGTTTTGATTTACTAAAAAAGATGGGTTAGAAAACATTTCAAATGATGTCTATCACATCAAATTTTTATATGGTGATAAAGAAAGCTGATGGATCTCTCATGGTACTGGTAGATCACGTTTATGTTGATTTTACATACCGATGTTAATTCTTGGAGAGTGCAGTTCCTCTGTCATGCTTACCACACTTATTTTAATTCCAAGTCATTGAACCATTGACTGCTGTTGGCCCTGCCAGGAGTTGAGGCATCATGATGCCAACTCCTTGTGAAATGATACCTATTCCAATTATGTTTTGTATTAATAATGGTTGGAGCACTTGCATGCCCTTGAGTGTTGTGTGTGTATATATATATATATTTGATAATCTAAGGAACCATTTTTGCAAGTGCACTTTCCACTAGATCTACCCTGGAAATGAAGCAAATAATTGTTTCCATAGTTGCAAGTGTTTGAAAACTTCTAGTTCACTATTGTATTAACTCGTGTTCATACATTCCTCCACTTCTCATGAAGCTTTCTGTTTGAAGAAAATTGACTTGTCTGTGAAATACAAATTAAATTTGCTACTCTTGACAGGATCGACTCAATCAGAATTGCTCGCGTTGCGAAAAGAGAAGTTAAGAGCAATGGATGTCAAAGACACGTTAGAACGGCTAGATAGTTCGACAGAATTCGTTAAGAAGAATATTTCCATGGTTGCAGCCAAGCTCGCTATTCAATCGTTAGGGAATGAGCAGTGAGCCTTCTGGTGTCAAAAACCCGAAGATAGAAAAAAGAAGTTAAATTCATGCTCAACCATGATGGTGAAAGAACAAGCTGATGCAACCGCGTTGGAATTGAAAACCAAGAATTCAGTTATAACTATTGTGTATATAATGTTAGAAGTGTAACAAATTAAATTTTGTGCTTATGTGATAAGCTGGTGTAAAATGCTTTTTAAACTCTGCAGTCCAGTTCGTCTAAACTAATTTATCATCGTATTCCTATAGTAATGTTTTCACCTTAAATGACAAATCGTTTCCTCTATGAAGAGGAGGAAACATGTAGAATTGATTATTACTGCTAATGTTTTCACCTAGGAAGCATGGATATGGAATAAGATGATAAATCTCAAAAAAATAGGATACAGGTACAATATGGATGCTTCAAAAAATAATAATATAATATAATATATACTTATAAATATATATATATATATATATATATATATATATAATGTATTTTTTGTCATTTTATCCCTATAATAATCATAAATTAATCAATAATTTAAAGTTTAGAATAAGATATTTGTTATTCTTGTTTTCTAAAATTTAATATTATTTTTTAATTAACCTATAATATATTTTAAATTATATATATATATTTTTTCTCCAAAGATAATTACAAAATCACTTAAAGTGTTCAAAATTTTTCTTGGCTGTGTTAAGTTGTATTCGATTAGAAAAATAAATATTTACAATTTAGGATATTTTTAACACATGTTCGAGTTGTATTCACGTATTTAGGAAGTGTCTGAGTATTTGGGAAGTGTCGTTCAAAGAAATATTCGCGGGTTTTCACCGAAAAGGAAGGCAAATGAGTAAGTTACAAGAGGGCCATGGTCCGCTAGCATTAGTGCTATTGAACTGGAAGTAGTTGGTGCAATAAAGTAAATCAGACTGGACAATTTGTTTGAATTATAATATTAATGGAAAAGGAAAAAAGAGAAAAATTGTTATTGGTAAAGGTTTGCCCTAGTATTCGTTATAAAATCATTAAGATTAGGAAATTGAGAAACAAATGTATTAGAAATAAAAAAATAAACTAATTTACTCAAAATTAAAATAAGGTATCAATTAAAATAAACTCCATAAGTTACCAATTAAAATTAAAAAGTTTCATATTAAAATAAAATAGGTAATTTTTTAATAAAATAAATTACCAAATCATAAAATAAATTACCAATTGAAAATCAATCAATATGTTTCAAATTATTAACTAAATTACTAATTAAAATTATATAGATAATTGTTTAATTAAAATTCAATTAGATGTTTCAAATAATTTATAAATAAAATAATAAAATAATTTATCAACTAATAAAATAAGTTATCCATTAAAATAAATCCTATAAGTTACTAATTAAAATAATTCTCATTATGCTCGAAATTTTTCAAAGTTTAAACAACTTACTTTTTTTATTTTATTCTATTTCTAACTCTTTCCTAAATCTAAATATAGATATAAATATTTCCATTATAATATTATAATAGTTCATAATTATTTAAAATTTGAATTTCTTAAATATAATTTTTTTAATTAAGATTATAAAATAACTTTGATAGTGTTTTCCTAGTATATTTATATATTTATCGGAGGGGTAAAGTTGCAATCTAACTAGCTAATCTTTGTTTTGTTGTTTTTTTCTTTTGAAGTGTACTATCTAACACTCCTTAGCTTTTTCAATTTTAGGGTTTCATGGCTAGTCAGTACAGTTTTCACACAGATGCTTCTAAGAGGTGGGATGAGAATTCAAAGGAAGTTGTTGGATTTGATGAGGAGGAGGAGAATTACAGTAGTGTGGAGAATCAAAAAATGAAGTGGGATGCATTGAGGAAGAACATATATAAATCGGTGAAGTGGGTATACTCAAGGATCTTGGGAAGGCATTGCAGGAGCTATTTGCTGAGAATCTGATCCGAGGAAGGGGTCTTTTTTGTGGGTGCTTGATGGAATACCAGATGGCGTCTCCCCTTCACACTGAGGTGCTTGCTGCGTTGGCTGCCGCTGCCAATTCCAAGTTTCCGGAGGTGGGTCATCTTCTATTGAGAAGGATCCTTCTGCAGATAAAGACAGCGTATGAGCAGAATGACAATGTAGGTGTTGTGCCATATATATATATATATATATGTATATATATATAACTGTTCACACTTGCTCACTGGTGTGTAAGGAATTTATGCACGAATTAAATCTTAACCGTTAGATATGAAAGAAAATACTAAATTTTTAACTGCCCAATAGAATCTAACGGTTAATTGAACAATTCTATATATATATATATATATATATATACTTCTTTGCTCTTTGATCAGTTCAACCGTTTACTGATTTGTATTTGCTTCTGATTGTTCAAATTATTTTTGTTTGGGTAATCTTTTATTGACAGCGACAATTATCGGTAGCTCTTAAGTTCTTAGCACATCTAGTGAACCAGAAAGTGGTTAACGGGAATGTGGCTTTGGAACTTCTCACGCTTCTGTTGGACAAGCCTACTAATGACAGTGTTGAACAAGCTTTTTATTTTGTCAAGGAATGCGGGTCAAGACTTCGACACTGATGCCCCCAGGGCCTGCATGGTGAGTTTGCCATTAGTACTGTCCTGTGTTTCTATCTCTCTATCCATTTATTTATTTATTTATTTTTTAGGGAATTAGCTTTCCTGTTAATAGTTGGATTATTTTCACTCATCCTCTCCCTTTCTGTTATCCTACTGTGATTCATATCCAAACATAAAAATGAGAACTTTCTGAAAAAATCAATTTTGTTTTTGAGACATTTGTGATTTGTCAAATCATATCTTCCGAAAGCCTCAACAAATCCATCTTTTGTAACACTGCTCACCCTCTCTAGGTTTGTATATCATTTATGATGCTTTTGATTGATTATCCAGCCTTTACCTTAATGAAGTTGCCCTTATACACGATTTGTTTGTAGTTAGTATATATGTTTATATTGGCAGATGGATATTTCAGAGGATTGCTTTAGTTTTTGCATTTTATTTGACTACATTAGAGGTTTTGTTTTGCTTCTGAGTACTTACTGTTTATCCCTATGGTGTTACTAATTGATATATATATATATATATATATATTCTTTTTATAAGTAATTTCTAATGGATATATCAGAAAAAAAAAAAAAAACATATTGGTTATTATTTTTTGCCCCTTTACCCCGTGCTTATGGTTTAAACTAAAGTGTTTTTTTTTTTTTTTTTTTCCCCTTCAAATTTCTTTGTATCTACTTGTTTGAGTATTTAGTTCGATTATTACAAAGCTTCACTACATAAGTGTGCATAATGTATAACTAGAGAACTATAATCAGCAATCCATGTAGCTCATTCAGCAATCGAAGTTTCCAAAAAGTCCGCTACCTCCCCTATAGATTTACAATTTCTCCCCCGAATCCAAAAAAAGTAAAGTGTGAAGGATAGATAATTTAAGTCCACTAATAGGATTTTTGCAACGACCCAAACCCGGGGGTCTGGATCATTATCCGGGTCCTTAACCAAACCCAAGGTCATCTAAGGGCATTACGGTCATTTCTAGTGTCAAAACATGAATATTACATCATTCCAAGGTTTATAGTACTCCATAGCATCATTAGGTAGTTTGGGATTGGTCACGGGAGAAAAAGAAGTAAGAACAAGGAAGTACACGATCCGGTAGACGCATGCAGGGTGCACATGTCGACTGGTTTGGCCTCTGCACTCAAAACCTGCAACTGAGGAGATACCGGTCGACATGAAGATGCCAGGCGTTGACCGGTTTGAGGAAAAATGGCCTTTAAGGTCTGCAATTTCTGGTTTAAGTTCCCGGTATCCATTTTGGTCCAATTGTGACCCAAATCTGTCCCGAAACACCTAATTAACTGAAAACGGCTACAATCAAACATCATTTCATTCTTATACTCATCATAGGACATCAAATAAAATCAAGATAAGTTCAAAATGAATACGGATAGCTTTCCAAATTACATGGTTCCAAGGATATAATTTACAATTGTTACAATTTAAACAAAATTGATGACAACTATTCGAAGCCAATGCCCAGCTTCACTCCGTTCAAGTTTCCGGTACCTGAAAAATGGTTATAATAAAGGGATGAGCGACACTTCGCTCAGTACAAGATGCCTAAATGGCGTTTCCTCAAGTCAAGTAAGCATGGTACATAGCACGTAGGAGCATAGAAAGACGAAGGGGGATCATACAAGGGACTTTAATTCACCAACCAACCATCAAGCACACAAACAAGCTCCAATTATCCAATGAATGCCATGCATTATGTGTCCACAACACACACACAACCGACTCCAACGCACCCACACCAAAAAGATACTAATTAAGCGGACATAGGGTACTTCCTTCCGTCCTTATAGCTAATTAGTGTCGCCGTTAAAGGGTTACCTTCCCAATACCGATTTTAAGAAAACTTTTACTCTACCCTTTACAAGACCAATTTCCCCACAACTCCCACACACCACTCTACTCACTTACATCATGCTATGAGTAATGTCATGAGGATGAAGTGCAAATGTTTGAAGTAACCATGCTTTCCATCATCAACATATAACCACAATAGGAATACTATGCATGCTTTTGTAAACAATTCATCAAGAATTTCCCATAATCAATCAAGCCACATAGCATTAAACTTCAATGCAAATAATAATCTCATATAAGCAAATTATTATGTAATTTAGCATGCAAGACATAATTTTGTTCACAATCATAACAATTCTCCTCAAGTAAACCACATACAACATGTATAAATAACATGGTTCACATAATACTCCAAATTAGTATGCCTAGTAACATTATCATCTTGCCTTGCAACAAACAAAGGAACCTTGGCTTCAATACAAGCAATGATTGAACAAATAATAGACATAGATAAAACCTTAGAACACAACTCAACCAAATCATACAAAATTGAGCATGCTTTCAAGGGGAAAACAAGGGGTTGTTTACCACAACCTAGGACTACACAATTTAAGCAAACCCCTACCTCAATATGCAAAGCCCTAGCTTCCTCCAAGGTTGAAATGTCCACCAAATTGAGAGCCACTAGCACCAATGAAGAGAGGGAAATAAGGAGAGCAAACTTCCCTCTTGATGACAACCCAAAATCCCACCTCCAAGGGAATTTTGAAAATTCTAAGTGGACAAATGGGGCTGTTTTTGATACCAATAGGAAGCTCTCATCAGATGGAACAACTTTCCCTTCTATG